CATTAGATTAATTGAACTTCAACTTTCCTCATTATCATGATAAGATTTGTTTAAAGAACAAATTTTGCAAAGAAAAAGGGGAAAAAACCAAGAATTGTGGAGTTTTCAAATTGGTAATCATTGGACATTAGATTGAACTTTTTAGAAAGACCTCCTCAATATTTTTCCCTTACAATGAAAACAAGAAAAATTTTTTATCATTATTTACTACTATAATACACCCCTATCATGCTGATAGTAGCATCTTTCATTGCCTCCATGATCTCGTCAAAAACCTTTTCTCTTGATATCTGATATGACGTTTAATTTCTTGAAGGACGCCTTCTGCAGCTTCCATTTCTTTATTTAGCAGACAAGCAAAGCAAATGACAGAAGAGTAGAGAAAAACAGATAGCAGAGCCAAAAATGAAACAGCAAGAACAAGAATATATCAATAAACGATGTGACCAAGCCAAATAATTAGCTATATAGCTATGAATAAATAGGCAACTAAGAATCAAAGTGAAAGGTTTCTGGTTTTTTAGGTGGAAAGTAGAGGAAGATAAGAAGCCGATAATTTGAGGTGGAGGACAAGAGATGAGACGGAAACAAAAGAGCAAGCAAAACACAAAGAAAGGACAACAAGATAATGGAAGAGAAAAGCCACAAAATGACAGGGTTTTGAGAATGGATGAGCAAAGAACAATGGAGAAAGATAACAGTGATGTTCTGTCAAATTATGGGAAGCCAAAAGCAGCAAAATGCAAGGGTTTTGATCTTCTCCATTCTTCAGCTAGGTGTAAACCATTATGGCCAGTGAACGTGGCCATCATGAATCAGAATCATGGGTCACTACAAAGCAAAACAAATGATTGACTCTTGTACTTTAAAGTGAATCAAACAAACACATTGGGTTGGGGCTACGTGCTCAATTATTATACTTTAAAGCCTGAAACGGCAGAGCTTTACTTCCCATTCATTATCCTCTGTTTTTTTCTTGCCTTTTCATGACCTTCGAATGTGTGGCCATGGCATTATTACTGATATTCCATAAAAAAAAAAAGTTGCTTAATAAATAATGGATAATTTTTAAATACATGTAAAGTAAAAAATTATTTATATTTTGTCACATTGTTACTGAAATTCCATCATTCTATAAAATATCGCATCCTTACTATGAACTTAGCATATTTAATATCACATCAATTTAATCAAATAGTATGATAATATACATTGTAAAAGAATTTTAACATTATTAATAATTAAAATGATATTGTTAATTTTTAAAAATACAAAATTTTATTTTTTATAAACTTTATATAAAAAACTAAATTCAATATTTTTATAAACTACAAAGATTAATTATATAATTTAATTTTTAGTTTACAAGTCAACCAAACTTATAATCTCTTCCTTTTCTTGGACTTTATCCACCTTCTTTAACTCATCATTGAGTTTCTTGTGTTGTTCAACATCCATCATCTAATATATGTAATGATCTGCTTTTACAATGCAAAGAAAAAGATATTTCAAACTTCAATTCGTTAAAGAAATAGATATTTACATTTTAATTCTAATTCTATTCTCACAATTCATTGTAGTAATTGGTTATGTTTGATGATTCTGATTCTGTATTCAAAACATTAGAAAATTCAGCAATAGCTAATTAAAAATAAACTAAGTTATATTGTAAACCGTTAAAACTAATAGTTATAGAAAAAGTCATAATAAAACAATAAAATTTATCAAATATAATAAAATTCACCCCCATCATATTAAATGGATTATAAACATGTAATTATCGTGTCATGAGTTATATAACAATAGTAATTAAACAAATTTTAAACGGAACATTTAAAACAAAAAATCTTTTATATTTTAATTGTATTAGTATGATTAAAATATAAAACATGATTATTCCAAAACCTAAACTTACTTAGCTTGGTTATAAAAAATATAAAATTGTCAAGTATACCCGTATATTACTCTTGCACCGAGCTCTGGTCATGAGCATTGAATATGTGGCCATTTATGATAATCAATCCTACATCAATTATAATTTTGGTAATAAAATATTATTTGAAAAATTAAAAAAATTATAATTTAGATAAAAACCAAAATCTAGAAATAAAACTAGAATTTACGCAAAGCAATTATATATAATGGGTTATTTAATTTTTTACCAACACGTTTTTATGAATTTGGAAAAGTCTACATTCACATTTTGAAAAAAAAGATGATGTGTTTGGTTTCACATGATATGGTATATGAATGACAATTATTATTTAGAATAAAAAAATTTGAAGTGCTTAAATATTAAAAACTTTTTAATTTATTAATTAAACATCCCAATTAGTTCTTTTTATTATTCGAAATAGAGCCAAGGATTCTTGATTTGCAAATGTATAAT